TATATATATATATATATATATATATATACACACACATACACACACACATGCACAAACCGGACCTATCCATGTATTAAATTGAGAGATGTCAGAGTGAAGGGGCTGCCTTGGACAAGCGCCTCGAACAGTTGGAGATTTGGTGCCTTGCTCATGGACACCTCAGCAGTGCCCAGGAGGTGAACTGGCACCTCTCCAGCTACCAGTCCACACTCCATGCTTGGTCCAGACAGGGACTTGAGCTGGTGACCCTCCAGTTCCCAAGCCAGTTCCCTGTGGACTGAGCTACTGCCGCCCCAAAGATTTATGTCAGTAAACACGTTGCATAATTTTAGTATTATGAGGTTATGTCATCTCATCCCATTATTTTTTTCGAGTGATGGTTTGCAGTTTTCATGTTGTACATATTCCACCTTGCCTGAAATAAAGACTCCACTGACATCATTAAATGATAACACACTTTTATTAAATATATTATTAATCTTCAGGGAAAAAAGGAGCAGATGTGCTGTTTTACACAGTGAAAGCCCTGAGTATTTATTGACTGTGGCTACTGTTAGGGCTGTCATCTACTTATTTAACTGACTGAAGCTTTAAGTGTGTTCACACCACCGGACAACTAGAGGCAGTTGTACGAGTTGGTTGTGTGCGGGTTAAAACACTGGGAATAGACAATAAGTAGTATATTCATCAAGTTTAGGTTTAATTACCTTGAGTGATGGACTTTGGCTGACATGGTGCATTCATGTTTGGTTTTCTGGCACTTCCTTATCATTAAATACCAAGTTGAGTATCAGAGCTTTCAGAGAAGTTTCCCAGTCTTACGCAAGACTTAGATGTTGATGCTCTGCTTGAGGTTTCTACCATTTTTTTCCCCTGTTAAAGGATTTTTTGGAGAGTTTTTCCAAAGACAGAGGGATGTCTCTGAGGCAAATTGTGATGTGTGATATTGGGATTTATAAATAAAATTCAATTGAATTGATATGAACTCTATTCACAGGCCTGAAACTGCTAATTACGGCAACTCAGGTAGCACCTGAACGCAGCATTACCATTTCTGCTGAACTATTTTATAACATGCTTTAATGAGTGCATCAAAAAATGCATGATTTTAAAGAGAAACTCTGCTCGTGTTTGCAGTCAGGAGCAGATTGTGACCATGCAAACTGATGTTTGAGGCTAACGTAGCAACATGTAGCTCTGTAGCTTCTCTTACTGGACTTGTGCAATAGCTGTGGCAGCTGTGGCTTTTTTTTCCACCAGCAAAACAGATCAGTTTGCACATCAAAAGATGGCGGGCAAAGCTGAGAAATCACAGAGTAGCTTATGTGTTTATTAGGCATCAAGCTTGACAACAGGAAATGCTACAAGCTACTTTAAAAAGAAACTAGACGAGATGAGAATACAAAGATGACTCGGACTTTATTTGCTAAACCCCAAAGTGTCAATATAATAAAAGTGGCAGCTCATCCAACCAAGAGGAGCTGACAGGGATGAGATTATGTTTTCGGGTTTAGAACTAAAAGAACTAATTGAATAATCAGTTAATTAATTGGTGACTACATTAATAGTCAAATATTTGTCTTTTTTCCTCGAGCAAAACTGTCAAACATTCACTGGTTCTCCAGTGTTGTTTTATATCTTTGTCACCATTTGGGTTTTTGGAGACATTTAAAGACGTCACCTTGGGGTAAAATTGTGATACATATTTTTCACTATTTTTAGACACTTCCCAGCTGGATACCAACGCTGTTGGACTTTAATTTTTGGTTGAATTTAGGTTGTGACATCAGGCAACCAAAATTCAGAGTCTGGACAACATCTTATGCCAAGTTCAGTTTGACAAAGAATACTGACGACAGATAACGTCGATATTTTGTTGGTTTAATTTAGGTTTTTAAATAACTAAAATTCATTGTCTTCTAAACGTCTCATGTCACCACCAAAGACCAATGTCTTTCTGATGTCATATTGACTTCCAGTACCAATTGGGTTTGAATCACCAGATTAAGGGACTGTTCTTTATTTATCAGAGGAGGGGCCGGCTGGGGTGTGACTTTTTTTTTTTTTTTTTTTTTTAACCCTCCCCAAAGCTATGCCATTTTTCCTTGGGGCCTCCCTGAGTGACTCGGGGAAATTACATGAACCTCCCTCCACCATAAATTAGTTGTTGGATTTTAAGAACTTACCCATTAATGTGTGAAAGTTAAAAGTTGAAGATTATTGAAAAAAATACTATTAAGTATTAAAAAACCTTAATAAAGCAAATAAAGCCCAGGCTATTAATTGAAGTTTTACGGTATACACACTAGGGCTGCCACGACTAGTCAACTAATCGATGACTAATCGACTATTAAAATAATCGGTGACTATTTTAGTAGTCGACTAATCGGTTTGAGTCATTTTTCATAGAAAAGTACTATAAAAGTACCCCAAAATACTCTTACTGCAGCTTCTTACGTTCAGATATTGGCAGCTTTACACACTCTCCTGTGACAGTGAACTAATACCCTTTGGCGTAAGTATGAAACAAGACATTAGATGACGTAATTTTGGGGTTTGGGCTAGACAGACCGACATTTTTCAACATTTTAACACATTTTTCGATGAAATGATTAGTCGACTAATCGAAGAAATAATCAACAGATTAGTCGACAATGAAAATAATCGTTAGTGGCAGCCCTAATACACACCACCCCATTCACATTCTGGGTATCGAATGACGTACTGCAGTGGTTTCTGTCTCACTTTAAAGGTCCTGGTGTTAGTACTAGGGGTGGGAATCACCATAGGATCCATGATACGATATTATCATACTAAGGTCACAATACATTATTATTGCGATTTTAAATATGTTGTGATATCCTATTAATAAAATATATTGCAATTTATTACCCTTTGTCAACTGTGAATTATGTCTCCAATGGAAACCTTTGTCAGCAGTTGTTTTATCTAAGAAGATTCTCGCTTCTCACTTCAGCCTTTATTTATATTATAAAAAAATGTATACTTGGCACTGTGTGACGATACGATATTGCCACACAAAAATATCATGATACTACACTGCATTGATACTACCCCCCACCCCTTATCGGTACTGGTATTGTTTTGTTTTTTAAAGTGATACCCAGCCCTGCCAAGGACTGTCAGAAATGTGAAAACCCAATAATAATTTATGTTTTAATGGTTTCTTGCAGTGGTTCGCCGGTTACAAGACATATCATGATATGAAAATTGATGGTTATCATACCGTGTACAATTGCTCATGTACGATGCATGCACATATTTCCATTTCCAATTATTGTAATAAAATGTTTGCTCAACCAAAAATACACCCTTCATTCTGACTAATAACACTTTTGTAATACTGTGACAACATGAAACCACAATATTCTGTGGGACGATTACTGTACCACTGCAACCCTACTTCTGACAATGACAACTGGTGTAATTTTGGCGATTTGGCATGTTTTCCCTAGTAATCAGCAGTAAAATGAAACAAAATGGAACCATCTAAATGTGTATGCTCCTCCCTTGAGCCAAAATAAAAACCACAAGTCCCTCCTCGGTGCTTCAAAATTGTTTTCCATGCCTCCCCCTTTTTGCCCCCCCCCCATAAATAACAAACAGTCCCTAAACAATCATGAAAATACTGTTGAGTTGCAGGCCTGTTATATGGAAATAGAGAGGGTAATTTAAATGACATCAGGTAATGAGTGATCTGAAGGGGACTGTGTTTGATCAGTAACTTGAGGACTTAAGGGAGCTGTGATTAGTTCAGTGACTCTGCCTGTTTTAAAGGAGCCAGTGAGTCAGTCAAGTGAACTTATCTGCCAGGGCTAATATTAATAATATATGGTGGTAATAAAAGCTGCACAACAGAGCAATAACAAGTGAAAAGGCCTGTTGTGACGTCACTGCGAGAGCTGTTTAATTAAAGTTTCCTCAGGCTGAATAGCTGACAGTAAATATCAGTGAATACAGTGCGTGTCCTCTGCTGCTTGTTCAAGTTGGGTTGAAAACATGTAATAAATGCCCCGAGAGAAGGGAAAACACACACACACACACACACACACACACACACACACACGCATATACAGAGAGAGACACACACACCCCCGCTGGCGTCGACCCAGCTACAGATGGCACAAAGCTACCAAATGACACTACAGAACACGGATAGGCCTGGAAACTGGTGGCACAGACCAAACACACACTCTTCATATGACACATGAAGCTGTGTTTAGAGGCATGAACACAACTACAGGACACACACACACACACACACACACACACACAAACAGCTCTGCAGACACAAGTGCATCAGCCCCGGCTTCACTTTGCTATATGTGTCTCCTGACAGTAAACAGCTCCGTGTCACCGACACAAATCACTCTGCGTGTCTCCATGTTAGCTGGCGCCTCAGGGAAGTTACCTACCTTGTTTTGGAGGCCAAGAAAGCGAGTTTTATTAATCCGTGAGTGCAAATCTGGATCCCCTCTTTCTCTATACTCGCCACTTTCAAGCTGTGCTCTAAAATATGAAGCTCCATCTTTTACGTCTTCTCATTTGAGGAGCGACTAAAATGTCAGAAAGCCGAAATACTGTCAAATAAGATGCATAAATAAATAAATACACGCGCACGGCAGGCTGCAGGCGTTTTAAATAGGGAAATAAAGAGCGAGGCAGGGTGGAATAAAGAAAGCAAAGAGGTGAAAAACGGACCTGCTGTCAAAGCCTGCAACGGAACCACGCGCACTTCCGGTGATGGGTTTTCAGAATAAGGCTCAAGCACAAGCTGGGGTTAAGATAAGACTGTTAATGACACGCCGAGGAAACTCTCACGTCACAGCAGCTCAAGAGACACAACACAAGAGAGGGGAAAAAAGACAAACAAACAAAACAACAAACTAACAAAACCATAAAAAACAAACAAAAAACAAACAAAACAGCCCCCCATGAAATAAAATAGATTAAACAACAACAACAAACAAACAAACAAAAAAATAGAAACTGCACNTAAAATAAAATAAAATAAAATAAAATAAAATAAAATAAACCAATAACAATAAATAACAAATTAACAATAACAAACAAAAACATAAAAAAGCAGAGAGGGGAAATGAACACCTTACAGCAGCTCTCAAGAGACAGAAGCAAGAAAAAAATAAATAAAACAAAACTAACAATAAATAAATGTATTTGTTAATTAATTAAAATAAAACTAATACAAAAATATTTTTTCCAACTCTTTTTATTGGGGTTTTTAAAATTAAACATACGTTGACAATAGTATAAAAGTAAAAACAGAATTTTTGATACAAATGTATATGTTATATATTAAATGAAGCAAAAATACTCTAAAGGGTGATTTGTCATACATGTATAGAAAATACACTTTTTTTTTAATAATAATTCTATACCATCATTTTAGATATATAATCACAATAATTACTAATTGTAATTACAAATAATAATTAATTATACATTTTTCCCTAGCTGTTTTCCCCCCTAATTTGTAAGAAAATAATAATTTTCTAAATCTTTTTGTTTTTTGCAATTTCTGGGACATTTCTTATTAAGTTGCTCACTGCCATTTCCCCCATGTTTTTGAAAGAAATCACACCAGTTTGCTCAGGGGTCAAAGGTTTAAATACTCGTGAAAGGTGTCTGAAAACAGCACAAGAAAATGATGTTGCTCCAGGTTTCAAAGGGTTAAAATATAAAGAATTGCACATCTCTGTTGCACTGATGTAATATAATAAATACATTATTGTATTATTAGTGCTTATAATAGGAGTAGTCTAACAGGAAAAAGTTTAGTTTCAGAGTTTATACAGTGCCCTCCAAAAGTATTGGAACAGTGAGGCCAATTCCTTTATTTTTGTTGTAGACTGAAAATATTTGGGTTTGACATCAAAAGATGAATATGGGACAAGAGATCAACATTTCAGCTTTTATTTCCAGGTATTTACATCTGGATCTGATACACAACTTAGAAGATAGCACCTTTTGTTTGAACCCACCCATTTTTCATGAGAGCAAAAGTATTGGAACATGTGACTGACAGGTGTGTTTTGTTGCCCAGGTGTCTCCCAATTACATTGATTATTCAAACAATAAATAGCACTGAATGTCTGAGCTCAGTTTCAGATTGGGTACGATAGGTTTTGCCTGTGCAGACTGCATTTAGAGGTGGAACCAACATGAAAACCAGAGAGCTGTCTATGGGTGAAAAAGAAGCAATTGTGAATCTGAGAGAAGATGGACAATCAATCAGAGCCATTGCACAAACATTGGCCATAGCCAGTACAACCATTTGGAATGTCCTGAAGAAGAAAGAAACCACTGGTGTACTAAGCAACAGACGTCGAACAGGTAGACCAAGGAAAACATCAGCAGTTGATGACAGAAACATTGTGAGAGCTGTAAAGAAAGACCCTAAAACAACTGTTAGTGACATCAGCAACAACCTCCAGAGGGCAGGAGTGAAGGTATCACAATCTACTGTTCGCAGAAGACTTCATGAACAAAAGTACAGAGGCTACACCAGAAGATGCAAACCACTCATTAGCAAGAAGAATAGGAAGGCCAGGCTGGAATTTGCCAAAAGGTACAGAGATGAGCCTCAAAAATTCTGGGAAAAAGTTTTATGGACTGATGAGACAAAGATTAACTTTTTCCAAAGTGATGGAAAGGCGAAAGTTTGGAGAAAGAAAGGATCTGCTCATGATCCCAAACATACAAGCTCATCTGTGAAACACGGTGGAGGTAATGTCATGGCTTGGGCTTGCATGGCTTCTTCTGGGACGGGCTCTTTCATCTTCATTGATGATGTAACACATGATGGCAGCAGCAAAATGAACTCAGAAGTCTACAGAAACATTTTGTCTGCTAATTTAAAGAAAGATGCAACCAAACTGATTGGGAGATCCTTCATCATGCAGCAAGATAACGACCCAAAACACACTGCCAAAACAACAAAGGAGTTCATCAGGGGCAAGAAGTGGAAGGTTTTAGACTGGCCAAGTCAGTCTCCAGACTTAAACCCAATAGAGCATGCATTTTACCTGCTGAAGAGGAGACTGAAGGGAGTAACCCCCCAAAACAAACAACAACTGAAAGAGGCTGCGGTGAAAGCCTGGAAAAGCATCACAAAAGAAGAATGCAAAAGTTTGGTGATGTCAATGGGTCACAGGCTTGATGCAGTTATTGAAAGCAAAGGATTTGCAACTAAATATTAAGTCTCATTCACTTTAATCTATTTTAAGTTTATATGTTCCAATACTTTTGCTCACCTAAAAATGTTGTGTTCCATTACAAATAATGCTATCTTCTAAGTTGTGTATCAGATCCAGATGTAAATACCTGGAAATAAAAGCTGAAATGTTGATCTCTTGTCTCATATTCATCTTTTGATGTCAAACCCAAATATTTTCAGTCTACAACAAAAGTAAATGAATTGGACTCACTGTTCCAATACTTTTGGAGGGCACTGTATTTAGTTCTACATTTCTAAAGGAATCTGGGTGAGTAGTGATTAAAACTCATGACCTTTAGTGTTTTTTAAATTTTAGCTCAGGCCCTAATGACATCATGCATATCAGGTCCAGGACCTCTCAGTAATCTGAATGTGAATGTGCTTAGTCAAGGTTTTATACCGTTGTAATTTGGGTGCTTTTATTCTGAAGGTAAAAGGTGAAACCGGAAGCGCCTGTCCCGGCAGCTCGCCGCAGCTCGTCGGACCTGTTAAATGTGAGAGCAGAGGACCGCTGGTCCCCATGTTTGCTCTCCGACTGGAATAGTTAGCAGCTGGTCGGACTGAAACAAACAACTTGCCATTCAAACAGAGGGGGCGGGTCTGCGGTGGAGCGGGGCATCATGGGAAATGTAGTTCTGTAGGGTATGTCAAGTAGGTCTGCACAGGTGACTAGAAAGAGAAGGAATATTGGATGAGAGAACATACGATATAAGTTTATATTGTTTAAGCAGCAGCAGGGGAGTGTGTGAAATAAATGAAATAAAAAAAAAGATAAAGGAATGAAATAAATTATGTCATATGCAATAGATTATATACAACAGTTGTCCTGTGCTTTTTCATAATCCTTAGTGAGGTATTACAGGACTTGTAAGAGATGTGATGGGATGGCTCAGCACCACACATAGGTTTACAGGCATGGGCATGGACAGTAAATACATCGTAGCCTATATATAAGCATATTAAATTATATTGTGTTATTTATTTGAATCATGCATGAATGAATGAATCAATCATTTTGTTAAGAAATATTTCATGAGTAATAGCTGGTTGTCAGTTGTTATTTGATATTAGTGAATAAAAACAAACATTTATGTGTTGATAAGAATGATAACACACGTAAAGGAGTCTGTTGTGCACAGGTATAAACACAGGTGTGCCTGGGACCCAAACAGTTTGAAAACCACTGGTGTAGATACAGTGTTGCTCATGTGCAATAGCAAGCAAATTCACTTTAGCTTGAATTAAAACACCATTTTAAACATCTGGTTGCAAATCCATAACAGTAGTATCACAAATACATTTGGAAAAGCAGCTACTGTTTTTGATGTCACGGAATAAGGCATTGAGGTTACCGTCATTAACTAAAACTAACGGAAAACTAAAACTAGGTGTGAAAAACCATTTTATATAAGTGAAATAAAAATAAAAAATAGACTGTAGAAAAATGAGAATCAGCTGAAACAATATTGTGTCATATAAACAAAAAAACAAAAAAATCAGAAAAAGTCTATTTTTTTTATTCTTTGTAAATCTGGTCCAATTGTCAAAGAACAAGCATCAAGGGGCAACAGTACATATGTTTATTGAGACTGGGACGTCTACATGACTCACATTGTGTTGTGTTTGTGTTGTGATAACGACCTGCAGATTGACCAGATTTAAAAATATATTAATGTCTATAAAGCTTTTAAATAATGGCCAATAAAGCCAGAATAGGCACTGCATTATGATGATTTGCGTTTTGTACAGGTATTTTTTTTTTTTTTTAGCATTTTTTTGTTTGTTTGTTTGTTTTTTACATAACATTAGGTAACATTCATTTATTAATTCCTTCAACCTTTGTTTTAACTGAATGTAGATGAGTAAAACAACATGAAATAAAAGCACCTAGACAGAAATAAAACAAAGAAACTTACATAAAAGTGGCGATAAGAAGTACAAAGCAATAACACCACAATTAAAAATATAAAATAAATATAACAATATGTTAACTGTCATACAATATGACAGTTAAAGATTTGAATTGTCCTGTGGATAAAAATGAGGAAAGCTTCAAATTGTTCTGCATGAAGAATGTTTTTGTGAATGTTTTCGTACTGTGTTGTATGTTGTATTTGTTATGGCTGCAGCATGGGTGAAGAGCCCAAGACAAATATCCCCTTTTGTGGGACAATAAAGTTATACCACCCTTATTATTAAAAATAAATAAATAAATAAA